TAAAGTAAGTATTGTAGGGTTAGCCTTGGGTTAGCGCAGCGAGAGAAGCTTTGTTGGCATTCATTGTAATTGCAGAATTTTCGTACAAAATACTCGGCCGTACCTCAACCGAAACCGATTTGCATAAAATTTGAGACTAGCAATAAAAAATACCACATAATAACTGTGCAGTTTATAACGAAGTTCTAATTTTGATTTCGATTTGTGAGTTGAGATAAAAGGTTTACGTGCACAAATGTGCAGCACAGTGAAAAAGACAATTATGTAAAACTGCTGCGTTTCGGTAGGGATTTTTCATGTATCTAGTGTACGTCTTCCGGCTGATGTGATGATGATATAGTAGCAAGAAAAATTAATAACAAATAAAAAATTCATGTTTTTAAGCAATTGACTTGTTTTTATTGTACACTTTGACATCCTATTATAGTTTTCCATGTGTCCATAATAACACAAAACCATATCAAAGAGATTCATTAGCAATCTTTTTTCAATAGATATCTATGGTAGGGTATCGACAGAAACCTCTATTCCCACTTGTTCTGTCGGCAGAACTATTGGGATTTTTTTACCGTTAGTTCTGTGATTTATAAGACTATGCTTTACACCCTGCTTCAATCTCAGATATTCCCACCTGTTCTGTTGAGTAGTTCTGTCGGCAGAACTATTGGGATTTATTTTACCATTAGTTCTGTTCACAAAATAATTCCCACCGGTTCCGTTGAATAGTTCTGTCGGCAGAACTATTGTGATTTTTTAAATATTATACCATTAGTTCTGTTCACGAACAAACTACTTCTCTATGCAGTTTGCTATCAATTATCAAGTACTGGCCACTTGAGGTAAGTATCTATTATTTATTTGTATCCTGATGACAACGTCATGAAATTCATGTTTGAAGGGTTTTAAAAGGGCAATAATATTAATCTTATATATTGAAAAGGGTTGTTGTTTGTTCAATGAGTGAGTTTAACATAATAAAACGCGGCCGCGGCCGCGTGTTGCTCGAAAATGGCTACGAATATTACCGGCTCTCTCAATATCCAAATTTACAAACGTTATGGAGATGTGCCATGTACAAGAAAATGCAGTGGAACGGTTACCACTTCCGAAGTAATTACTGTTTAAATAAGTTGTGGTATGAACCTAAGTTTACACACAAGGATTTGTTTTATATTTACTGTATTTTTATTTTTTATTCTAGGATGAAAAGGAAATAGTTAAACATGTTGACCATGACAATGCCTGCATTCCTGACACAAACAAAGAAGCCATGTCCGTTATAATCCACAAAAGTGTTGATGAAATGATGATAGGCAGTGAAACCGTACCGGCAGTGTACAAGAAAACAGTAGCTGCTTTAAAAAACACGGGAATAGATCTCATTAAAGAGGTACCCAGCTTCAACCAAATTAAGTCGTCGATTTACAGAAGGAGAAATAAATTAAACGAAGTTCAGAAAATGAACTACCTAAATGACATTGTAAATGCAGTAGAAATACCTATGCCGTTTTCTAAGTTTATGTTGGCAGATTACAACGACGAGGACGAGGGCGTCCGTATTATAATTTTTGCCACTAAGGAAGCAAGGACTCTTTTACGAGAAAAAAATATTTTTTTTTTGCAGACGGCACAATTAAAATTTGCCCGGGACCTTTCACAGAGGTTTACACTATTCATGCAGATCTTGAAAGCTCTGAAGTGTGTCTATCTACTACTGTGATGTCTCTAATATATGCACTTCTTAGTCACAAAACCAAGACAGCCTATACCACACTTTTCAGTCTAATAAAAACTCAGATTCCAGATTGGAAACCTCCCACTTTCATTACTGATTTCGAGGAAGCCGCCATTCAAGCCATTGCTGATGTTTTCCCAAATGAGAATCGTAAGTTTGTGCAGCGTTCTTCCACTATTGCCCGAAGAACGTGTTATGGAAGGATGGGAATATGTAAAATCCCAAGTGCTCGATTTTAGTGACAGGTCCGACTTGGATAAGTTTATGAAATACATGAATTTCTGGATGAAACCTAGGCGCATCAAATCATGGACTGCGTTTGGTCGGCGCCGTCGCACAACTAATGTTGTTGAGGGCTGGCATCGTGCCATTAACGGCACGTTCAAAACCAGGCCAGCGACTGTTTTTCAATTCCTGAAAAACATAGAAGAAGATGCATCTTTTTTTCTGTTAAAGCCATCCAAATGGCAAATGTCAAGAAAACATCCAAACGAAGGACAAATCAGCAGGTCCAAAACGACGAGATGATCAAAGTGTACCAAATGCAATTACTTGACGGTGACATAGAGATACCCTTAGAATAATAACGCATAGAATGATAGTTTCATATCAAACGAACTGTCACAAGTGAGGCAAAAACCAAATTCATGTAGGCGTAAGCAACTTGTAACTACGCTCGTCGGCACGCACACAAATATACAAAAAATGATGCCATGGAATAACATTTCCCTCAAAAGTGGGGAAATTGTATCTTGCTTAACTCATCATTAAGTTAAAGGTGCCTACAGATTTGCCCGACATTGTCGATCAGGTGCCTACAGATGTGCTCGGTTTTGTCGATGAAAAACGAATATAGCACTTATTTGTAAATCCAAGATGGCGGACACGATTTTTCAAAATATGCTATATGGGTATCCTTTTCGAGGTATTTGGGGATGCTCATTACGAATATGGCACTCATTTGTAAATCCAAGATGGCGGGCACGATTTTTTCAAAAAAATGCTACGTGGGTATCATTTTCGAGGTATTTGGGGATGCTCAATGCGAATATGGCACTATTTGTAAATCCAAGATGGCGGGCACAATTTTTCAAATAATGGCAAGTTGGGTATCGTTTTCGAGGTATTTGGGGGTGCTCATTACGAATATTGCTTTTATTTGAACTGTCGTGTTTGCCATCTTGGATTTAGAAATGAGTCCCATATTTGTATTGAACATTCCCAAACATCTCGAAAACGATACCCAACTTGCCATTATTCGAAAAATCGCGCCCGCCATCTTGGATTTAGAAATAAGTGCCATATTCGAAACCTAAAACCGAAAATGCCATAAGCAAACATTAAAGAAAATAACTGTTAAAATAGATTAAAAAAATCGCTTAAGAATGCTCCCCTTTTAAGAAAATAAAATATTTTAATATAAAATATTTCGCTTGAGTTACGAAAAGAAAGACATATAAGCTATCAAAGTTGTACTGGTGGTGCCAACACTATAGTAGAAACAAATATATACTGTAAATTTGTTGCAATATGTGCTCCAATTCAAATAAAATTAATATAAATAATTATTCAATAAAGCATGAACGCAGAGCCGTTAAAAGTATTATAAAATAATTAAGTGTCCCAATCACTTACAGGAGTTAACGAAAACATTTAATGTTTATTCGAGTAAATATTAGTTCAAAATGCGCAAATAAATCGAAATTACAGGCACCACTAAAATTTACGTAATATAATTATTTTGATACAGAATAGCAAAATGGGGAGAAAAAAAATTCGTTACTTTGCAACACTTTCGTATCTTGTTGCCGCGAAATTATTTTTCTGTTTTAGTGAATATTTACATAAAAATATGAGTTGAAACGCATTACTTACTTGTGGAATGCGATGTTAGTGTCTATTTTGTTTGTCTGTTGTATTTTTACACCCATTTACCGCACATTTCGTCATTTTTTGCAAAAAATTTTGGAGCTGTTCGCGGTGCAATATGACCTTGAGCACTAACAGCCCGCGCGCTCCTGGGACGCGTTTGGAACCCTCTAACTTGCCTCACTTTAGCGTGTGCGGGCTAGGTTTCTATGCGTTATTATTCTAAGGAGATACCTTTGTTTTTAGAGAAACTACGTTAATATATTTTTTAATCCTTTACGATATCTTTGTTATTTATAAGACAAACTGCATATTTGTGACAGAACTACGTAACAACAATTGGGAATATCTGAGTATGAACCAGGGTGTAAAGCATAGTCTTATAAATCACAGAAGTAATGGTAAAAAAATATCCCAATAGTTCTGCCGACAGAACAGGTGGGAATAGAGGTTCCCATTTGTTCTGTGAACAGAACTAATGGTAAAAAAAATCCCAATAGTTCTGCCGACAGAACAGGTGGGAATAGAGGGACAGAAACATTAGTCTCCATAATACGTGCACGCTTTAATGGCATGATATTTTATTCCTATCAGCTCATCTTGTACAGGACTTAGCTTTCACCCGTCACGCTTTAACCACGTGTTTTCCGAAGGTTGGATGCGTGACTTCCTCGAGAACCGATAGCAATCAAATGTGTGTTCAACGTCAAGTGATTTCCATAACTTGTTTAGTTTATAAAAGATTTAGGCAGAGTTGCCAACTTAGCAAGTTTCTCTCTAGATCTTTATTTTTATTTAACGACAAATGTGATTTTATCTCAGCGTTTTGTCTTCTTTTCTCTGATCATAAATTATTGCCAATGAAGTGGACCCTAGAACTTAGAGGATGGAAAAAAATAAAGGAAGTCTAATAAAGTCATATAACAAGTTATCCTTAAAGGATGGAAGAGTTATCTGATGATAAATCGGATTTTCATATGGAATGTAAATAGTTTTAGCTGCTTGTAAACTTCCAGTTTCAGCGACATTTACGTGTGCCTTATTCCAATGTGACCATTGTCGAGATTTGAAATTTGACTAGCTAGATAAAAAGTTGCAATTTAGTCGGTTCTACTCGCAAACAACTAGATTTAGTCGGTCCGCCGTTCAAAAGTTATAAAGGTGTTTTACTGTCCACACTGGAATAAGCTTATTCCAGCGGCACCATTTCTCAGCCTCGAGATCCACAGCATCTAGCTTAGATCTGATTGCCCCAGAAAAAGACGTGAATTAGGCAGTTACAACCGCGAAATTTTAAAATTAATTAACTATACAAGCTACGATCACACGAAATATAGGTCACAAACTGTTGTTTAAACTTTAAATGAAACAAAAAATGCATTAAAACTTTATTAAGAGAAGCATGTAATGAAAATGAGATATTTGAGATTATTAAGAGAGCATGAAATTGGTCATTAATGGAATGTGAATTGTGTATTGCTTGTTTTCATTTATACATTTAGATTTACAACAGACAAAATAAAATTAGTTCCCTATGTCAACTAATTCATAAATCCGTACAAAACACATTTTATTCTCCTTTGACAACTGGAACCAGCAAATAGATGCAGTTTCTGCTAAAAAAATTTTAAAAATTATATTTCCTTGTTAAATCCTTAGGTAAAAAAAGTACAGCTGCTGTTCTAAGGTTAGTGAGGAAGGAAGAAGTTTCATGTCATGTTTACGAAGATGTGCAGCTATAACACTTGTACAGGGAATGTTCTAGTATTATACACCCCTGTAAAGTATCACAAGGTTACACAATAAATTCCATTCTCAGGATCATTCATACCTTAATACAACTTGCATGTTAATTAAATATAATTTTCACCAAAACATAATTTTCTTTTCATTATAAATGTAAAATGTACAGTTCACATAGCTAATACTTTTATTAATTTTATTTTTAGGTACAAATACAGGACTTTAAAATTAATTACAAATGCATTGCTTTGAAGTAGTTAAAGCCTCTTAAATATTTAGCATGATGTTGTTAATGTGCAGGTTGGTTGGCAGGAAATTAGATGTATCTAATCAGGATTTATAAATGCTGAATTAAGATGTGTGACACTTCAGTTAAGACAGACAATTTTAATCCAGACTATCATAAGAGCATACCATACCATAGCATTTGATTTCAGAGATGTAATCTCTATGGATTTAAATAATTTGTCTTCACTGCATACATCTCGCATTACAGCTAACAACCTGCATAGTGTAGGTACTTTAAGTTTCAATGTTGATCACATAGTTATAAATTAATAAACAATATTTTTTTCACATGATAAAAACTAGCACAATAACGACAACAAACATTCCGAGCTTCCATTTTGATTAGTTCTACACTAAGTTAAAAAAAATTGTTTTGTGAAATTACAATTTAATTGTATAAGTTTGTCTGAATCTTATTGTCATTATTTCGTTAATGGCGGCCACTAGGCTTGGGCCATCGTCAGTTTCAATGTATGTTGTCAGTTAATACTGACTGAGAATGCCCATGTTTAGGCAGCAGCTACATATTTATTTATTTAAGAACCCCTTCGTCAAACTGCTGTTGTGATCATACCTAAATAACTTACTGAATCTATCACTGAGCTGTCAACATCTTTGTCAGTGCATGTAATTTATTTGCTTAGAGGATGGAAAAATTGGTTTATATATATTTATAGTCTAACTTTACTTGTTCTATCATTGAAACTGATATATGTCTGACAAAATTTACACCAATTGTCAAGATAAATGTCAACATTAAAACTTAAAGTATTCAAGACAAACAGTGCTTGTACTTAATCTACTTCTTAGCATTAGGAGAGGTAGACTGGAACACTGAAGATGCTGACATGAGGTTGTCAATGTACTGACCAAGCACTTGATTTTCTGAACGTAACTTTAAGTTTTCTTCCTTAACTGAGTCAACTCTTTGGGACAAATCTGTAACAATCAGTTAAAAAGATTTATAATAGTATCTTTGTATGAAACATTGTATGTTTTAAATTCTGTAGGTTATGAAAGTGTTGCAACAATGTAGTTTGTTATTATTTTATACTTATATATTTTTTAGTTTGCTTTCTTTAAATGACGGGAAATTCAGGTATGTTTCTTTTAAGTATAGTTGTTCCCCAAGTAAAATGAGCATTTTCAGACACAAAAGAAAATAACAAAGTCAAGAAACTACCCAATACTTCGTAACAAATGTCTCTTGACATTGAGAATATATATTTCCAAATAAAAAGAAGATGAAATAAAAAATGCTAAATACTAATAATTATTTACTAGTAGAATGCACTTTGCTGTGAACATGAAGAAAATAGAGGAATTCTTCTATTTGGTAAATAATGCCTCTACATGTAAAACTGCAGGTGACAATCAAATAAAGTTTGTAAAATGTACAGTCAACAGCACATCAAGCAAAACACTTTTGTTTGAATATTTTTATGACTTTCATGGGATAAAACCACTTTTGACATATTATAATACCAAGAGTATGTATTGTTTGCAATGACAACAGACAATGTTAGACAACAAAAGCAATGTGAGAAAAAATAAAAAGGATATGCAGAGACCTCCAGTACAATGGAACAAGATCCACCAAGGTGTGGCTTGATGTGCTGCCGTCTGTACAACTATACAAATTTGCATGTAATTATATTTAAAGCAAATAAAATGATTTGACTTTGACAATTCTATAATGATAAAAAGCAAGACAAAACATTTTTCTGTTTCGATATTCAGATTAAGGACCACCACTTCGCTGCATTACATATAAGGATCATTTAAAAAATGCATTTTACACAGCGCACTAGACAAGAACATTTGATAACTTTCTTTTCTGACAGTTTTCAACAAGTGGACAATAAATGCTTTGTGAGTTCTGACTCTCATAAATAAAATAATTCAAAAACAATTACATTCCTAAACTTGACATACACAAGAAATTATGGCCTGGGACTTTTCTTCTAATAGTACTAAGGCCTCCAATCATTTGCAATTGCAACTTTATAGCAAGATTAATAATGAATTAATCATACACAAAGAAACATATTATAGAATATAATTAACAAAAGATTGCACGCGAGCATTTTGTAGGTGCTATGAACTCTACTGGAGATTAAGCTGATGGTATAAATTGACATTTCTGCACAATGGACAAAAACATTAATTCGCTGTAAACAAGAAAGAAACTTCGCCATAGGCAATAGGGCGTTGCGAAATTCCATGAAAACATTCAACTTACCATCTAGAGTGTTCTGTAATTCTAGTACTTGTGATATGAGGCGTGCCTTTTCTTCCTGCTCGTCGATACCCGAGTCAGGTTCAAAGCTAGGCGGCCCATTTAGTCCAGGACTCGATGATCCCCCAGTATACGAACTCGGCAATGAGTCCATGGAACGACCGTGATCCAAACGATTATTTTCCACATCATCAGTAATTATAACCTGCGGGTCGTCATCTGCCAAAGGAATATTGTCGTCGTTACATTTCTGCATTATAGAAGACATGACAAACATAAAGCTGTGCAAATGAATGATTTGCTAGATATACAGCCGAGAAATTTGAATTATAAATAAAAATAGGGCAAGCTCAGTAATCGATCTCTGCAGATTTTAATTGACAATTTTGACATTGACACATGGCGAAAAGGACTGGGCTACAAGTGTAATTTTTCAATATCGTGCATTTCTGATCAAAAATTTAACAAATCTTGTAGAAAATGAAAATAAAGTAATGAGAGACGTAACTGAATCTGAGTTTAGGCATAACATTTCCTTACTTAATGATCATCGATCCATCAGTGTACTATTATTACATCCCAAATACTTACTTATAAATAAAATTACTAATTATTTACTTCCGAGTTTCAGTACTGACTATTTTTTGTGCCTTCTGACATTTCTAGATAAAAAAACTTCGCTTCGATCAATCACGCTAACTCCTCGGGTTTTACCTTAGAGGATGGAAAAAAAAGTCCAAACACAGGTGGAGGTCACCGTCACCGTAGGATTTTGTGATCATAATGTAGAAGGCGCTTAAAGTATGTACAATGTTTCCATTTAAATCATATTACGGTGCGTCTCACAGTGGGGCAGGATACCTTAAAAGTTGGTATTAATTCAAAAATCCAAACGCCATGATTACCATCGTTATATTGGCAGTTATGTTACCAACATACCCACCCAGTGAGCATTGTTTAATAACATCATTGTACCCACCCGTCAGGTACCGTAAGTCACGTGGCCGATAACATCCCCCGTCTCTCTCCCCTCAGTCGCAAAAAAAGCATCGCGGAGAGAGCACGTCTGTCGCACGTTGATTCGATCTTTTTTATTAATCTTAAAAATATTGTGACTGGTTGAAATATTTTCAAATTTGACTTTTTTTTACATGAAGACGACAGCTGCAGGTACGTGCTATATTTTTATAATTATTATATAATAAAATTGAGTACATACGATGAATCATAATGCTAAGAAATGAACATTGTAATCTTTCGTGAAATTTTTGCATTTCTCAGAAAAGTGTGAAATTTTAGATGAGTATCCAGGCATATCAAGTACTTTTGTTTGCATGATTAAATAGTTTTATTATTGGGCAACTTTAGCACGTGGGATTTTTTTGCGATATTTTGCGATTTCGGCAAGAAAAAGAGTTTTTGATATTTACCTAATAAATTAATGTTTTCTTATTTATATGAATTTTAATAACGTACGACTTCTCTTGGTTCCAGGACCTAGTTGTAGCACTGTATCATTATCAAGAAAAGAACTATACGACATCTTAATAAATTAAGGTGAGATTAAAATTGAGAAACAATTCCATTTCCTAGTGATATATATATATATATATATATATATATATATACACTATGGTTGGTAGATCTATGGTTAAAATTGACACTGTAAAATGTCTTCTGCAAATAATAAAAATGCTTGGATTATGTTAATATTAGTTTATTTCATTGGCGACGAGGAGTAACCAAACAAAATGAATAAGGAACAATTCCAAGAATTTCTACAATTACAAAAAAATCAGCAACAACAGATTTCGGACATTTTGCAACAACTTGTGTTGCAACAACGACCAGCAGTGGAGCTCCCCACGCCAGCAACACCTGGCACGGAACCTACCAGCTCGGCAAGCAGCAACAAGTACACAATTATTAAAAGTTTCAAATGCGACACTTTTAACCCTGCGACTGTATCGGTAGAAAAATTTTTAGATTTTTTCGAAGTCAAATGTAACATATGGGCTGTAAGTGATAATGACACAAGGAAAGAATTGTTATTTTCATGTATGTCTCCTGAGATATTTCACGACCTAAAAATAGCACTCGTTCCTAACTTTGGAAACAGTTCCTACAATGACATTAAGTCTAAACTACTCGATTTACATCGAACTAAAGTTACGAGGTATAAAGCACTAACTGAATTTTGGAGTTGCGTACGAGCCCACAACGAGACTATGGAACAGTATGCTAACAGGCTAAAGAAACTCGCCAGCGATTGTGGCTACAAGGACACAATGTTTCAATGTCAATTGCGCGATCGATTTGCTATCGGCTTAAATCACCCTCAACTAGAAGTGGACCTAAAACAGAAATGGCCAGACCTTCAAGAGACTTACGACGGAAAACTTATAGAGGTTACTTTCGATCAATTCTTTGCAGTAGCTCAGTCCAGAGAGTTAGCAGAAGGTGATGCTGATAGTAGCATGCCCGCTACCGCTAATAAAGTAAAAGCAAGAACAAGTACAGGACGTCACTATAAACAATGTACGTACGTAATGTGCACAAGAGAGATATAGGCTAAACGTTTGCAAGGCAAAAGACCATACATGCGATGAATGCCACATACAAGGTCATTTTGAAAGTTGCTGTATAAAGTCTGGTATTTAGCGAGCACCGCGACAGAAAAGAAACAACCAACCAATTATAGTAACAAACTGCATAAAATTAAGAACAATGCACACAATGATGGAAGTTCGTCACAGTCTTTTGACACGAGTTCTGATGAAAGTGATGATGTCTTCAAGGTTGAACGCAAGGAAACAAGGACAGCAAGAGAATTGATGTAACCGTCAACGGAGTCAGTTGCACATTCGATTGGGACCCAGGATCCGTGTACTCCATTATTAGCACAAATTTCTGGAAGCGGATCGGAGAACCCTCTCTAACCAAGGCACCGAAGCTACGAGCTTATGGGAACCTTAAGCTCAAACCAAAAGGTCTCACAGACGTAACCGTTGAAATCATGGGAGAGCGGAAAATATTACCTGTTGTGGTTATGGAAGACGCCAATCCAATGCTTTTTGGCCTCCAGTGGAGCGAGATGTATAAAATGACATTCCCAGAGCCAGTCTATTCGGTTAAACCCGTTCAACACACCACTACGCTTAAACAGGTACTTTCAACCTTTTCATCCCTTTTTGATAATAAACTAGGAAAAGTTAAAAATTATGAAGTCAACATTCATATAAAACCTGGGGCAGTACCTAAACATGTCCCTGCTCGACCAGTTAAGTTTTACATGCGTAAAAACATAGAAATTGAACTTCAACGTTTAGTTGACGAAGGAATCGTGACTAAAGTTGATCCAAATGTCACGCCATTAGAATGGGCTACACCCACAGTGAATGTCGTAAAAACAAATGGCCAAATCGGAATTTGCGGTGATTTTCGTAGCACTATTATCGTGTTATTGTCACTCATTCTCACCCGGTCCCACTCTTTGACCAGCTACGACAAAATCTGGCAAATGGAGCCAAATTTTCGAAAATAGATTTAAGGGATGCGTACTTGCAATTTGAAATAGCTCCAGAGTCGAAACAGTACCTGACAATCTCTACGCACAAAGGATATTATCAATACAATAGGATGCCATTTAGAATCTCAACAGCTCCTTCAATTTTCCAACATTACTTGCATGAACTTTTGGACGGTGTACCAAATATCGCAGTGTATTTTGACGACATTGCCTTAACAGGGAAAAATGACATTGAACACCTCCAAACGCTATCGACCGTATTTAGCAAACTAGATAAGGCGGGCTTAAAAGTCAATTTAAAGAAATGTTCATTTTTCCAGACAGAGATTGAATACCTAGGGCACACAATTACTAAAGACGGAATTAGGCCGACGAAATCGAAAATTGATGCAATAATGAAAGCGACACCGCCCACTAACGCCCAAGAACTGCGGTCATTCTTAGGTCTTATAAATTTTTACGAGAAATTTATTCCTCACCTACATAGTGTCTGCGCAGATCTGCATGCATTGACTGGTGGTCGCCGGAAGTGGCAATGGACCGTCAAAGAAAATACGAGTTTTAAGAACGCAAAAGATCTTATTAGTAAATCGAAACCGCTTGTTGCTTTTGACGAAAAGCGCCCATTGTATTTAGCCTGCGATGCCTCGGAAAAAGGTGTGGGTGCCGTCCTATATCATAAATCGGCAGACAAAATTCAACCTATCGTTTTTGCTTCAAGGAAACTAAGACCAGCGGAAACTAAATATTCAGTTATTGACCGAGAAGCTTTAGCAATATTTTTTGGAATCCAAAAGTTTGATCAATATTTACGTGGTACCAAATTCATACTTAGCACTGATCATAAGCCATTGATTCACGTTTTGGGGCCACAACGTAACTTGCCGAAGATTGTCAATAACCGTCTAGTGCGCTGGGCTTTAATCATTGGAGGGTATGACTACGATATAGTTTTTACAAAAGGGCATCTAAATTTTATGGCTGGTTTTCTTTCAAGGATGCCCAATCCAGAAGATAAACCGTCTAATGCAGAATTGACAGTACACAGAGTGGTAGTGGTGGTGGTGGTGGTGGTGGTGGTCGAAATTAAACCCATGAACCAGATAACCACTTCTAAACTGTGTGAAGAGTTAGATTCCATTTTCACCACCTTCGGCTTCCCTCAATTCTTGGTTTCTGACAATGGACCACAGTTTACTTCTCAGGAATTTCAAGACTATTGTAGAGACAAGGGTATTCTACACATAAAATCATCCCCGTACCATCCCCGGACTAACGGTTTGGCTGAACGTCTGGTTCGCACTTTCAAATCCAGGCTATCATCAAGTGCCAGTGACCATCTCACCTTGAAAGGACGACTAGAAAATTTCCTTTTTTCCTACCGCATAACACCTCATTCCACCACCGGTAAGAGCCCAGGACAACTTATGTTCGGACGTCAGCTGCATTGTATTTTGGATAACGCACGCCCTAACTCTAAAAAGGCCCTGCAGCATAGGCAGATACAGGCTAATATAAATTCAGAAAATTTAACACCATGTTTTAGATCGGGGGACAGCGTGTTTGTCCGAGCCCGGGATGGGTCACGATGGGAACCTGCTACCATATCCAGACGTACGCATAGATACTCGTATACCGTAGACACAGCCAATGGGGTAGAAAGGAGATATCATGCTGATCAAGTGCGTTCCCGCTTAGCCGACCATGTCAGTCCAGTTTCTACTGATGGCTCTCAGGACACACACGACCCGCATCATATAAACACCAGTGAGGTGGAACCCCTTGCAAGTTCGTCAGGAACGCAGAACTCAGCTACCACCCCAATGCGGCCATGCGCTGCTACTACGCATTCGCCACCTACCACGGCGTCCCTAAAGCGAGCATCAAAGCGCCATGAGCGCACCATCAGGCGACCTCGGCGGCTTATCGAGGAGATGTTGTAAATTGTAGGGATGGACGAATGTTATATATATATATATACACTATGGTTGGTAGATCTATGGTTAAAATTGACACTGTAAAATGTCATCTGCAAATAATAAAAATGCTTGGATTATGTTAATATTAGTTTATTTCACCTAGTAATTTAAAGAGAAAAATGTATCATTTCAAGTCTCAATTTAAAATAAGATGGTTCAATGTAGGAAGATCGGAGAAGAGGTTTTTCGAGAAATATAATGGTTGGCTTGCTAAGATGATTGTTTTTACCCACTACAAGCCGTCTAATTTAAGGAAGAGTGGACGTCCAACGATTTCATTTGAGGAGAGCACCGAACGAACTAAACGCAAAAAAACGGAAGACTTACGGAAGTCTAGATCTATTGCGGAATTAAATTTTGCCACACAAATATGTCTGAGGGCATCAGGAAATAAGGATGCTTCAAAATTGTTAAAGGAAATCATTACAACCTCTCCGAAACGGGCAAGCAAATATAGAAAAGCCTACAAAAATTCACTTGAGAAAAAGCCTTGCATGATGTCTGGTAAAGATGCTCTAGCTTTACTGATAGACGCTAAGTTGTCGAGATATCAATATAGTTTAATAAGACAAAGCAATCCGGACAGATTTCCTTCATACAAAATATTACAAAATGAGAAAAAAGAATGCTACCCAAATAATATTACAGTAAGTGAGATATCGGTGGAAGTCCCCTTGCAAGCCCTTCTGAATCATACCTTGGAACGTCTGCTAACTGTTCAGGAAAATGTTTTATCATCACTAAGCAATGAAGAATTGGGGAAACTACAACTAATGACAAAGTGGGGCTACGACGGCAGCTCAGGTCACAGTTCCTATAAACAAGCGTTCCATGGATGCCAAGCGAGTGATTCATCTGTATTTATAATGTCTCTCGTACCACTTCGTTTAGTATGTAATTCAAAGGACAAGAACTCGAAAATAATTTGGCAGAATCCTCGTCCGTCTTCTACGAGGTGTTGCAGACGTGTGAAAATTGCTTTCACAAAGGAATCAACTGCAGTTTCTGTAGCAGAAAAAAATCGGATGGACGCTGAAATATGTCAGTCGGAAAACACAAAATTGAATTTACACGGTAGAGCTGTTTCAGTCAATCACATAATGATTTTTGCGATGGTCGATGGGAAGATTTGCAATGCTCTCACAGAAACAACATCTACACGGAAATGTTACATTTGCGGTGCCACATCGAGTGAATTTAATGATATTAACAAAATGATTAATAGAAAAATAACAACGCAGAATTTACAATTTGGGATATCAGTCCTACATGGGTGCATACGGTTTTTTTAATGTCTTCTCCACCTATCCTACAAACTGCCAATTCTAAAGTGGCAAGCTAGAGGTAATGACAAAAGAATAGTTGCAGAAAGAAAAAAAAAGTATTCAAACTAAATTTAAAGAAAAAACTGGATTGCTCGTGGACTTCCCGAAACCCGGTTTCGTAAACTCGAATGACGGCAACACAGCAAGGCGTTTTTTCTAACCCTGAATTGTCTGCAGAAATAATTAAATTAGACGTACAATTGATTAAAAAATGCACACTATACTGATAGTAGCATCATGTGGACACTCTATCGGCATAGATCGATTCCGCGAATATACACATAATACTGCTCGGCATTTTGTTAATTTGTATGGTTGGTATTGTATGCCTCCCACAATACACAAATTTCTTATACACGGAGCAGAATTAGAATCCAATGCATTGTTGCCCATTGGTCAATTGACTGAAGAGGCGCAAGAGGCGCGCAACAAAGATTTTAAGAGTTACCGTGAACACTATGCTAGAAAATGCAGTCGAGAAAAAACGAATGAAGATATTTTTAACTATCTTCTTCTAAGTTCAGATCCTATACTGACTAGTGAATGGAAAGAAACAAAACAAAAAATTAAAAACTTACCAAAGGAGGCTATAGACCTATTAGTGGCTCCGATCGTCACTGAATATCAAAACACTGACAATGACGACGAAAACGAAGAATCTGATCATGATTAAAATATGTATTAATTTACGATAACATTTTTGTAATATTATCACGATTAAAAATTAAAACAATGCTTTATGTGTTTTATTTATGTATATGTTACTATACAAACCATATTTATAATTTGTAACGTATGATTCAAAGCAATTAATAATTAATACCAAGTTTTAATGCATCCTGCCCCACTGTGCGTCTGCTTCAATATTCTGCAAAAAATATATGCATGATTTTCTCTAAACGCCATTTAATCGGCAACTCTAAATTTAGTTTTGCCAATATAAATATTTATTGCAAAATGTGCACGATTTGAAATTATATAAATAAATGTAAAACTCGAACACGCTTTTATTTCACAAACGGAATTAAAATAGCCCTAAAATAGGTCACATGAATGAGTTTGCGGTAACGCAAATTATTTTCTGATAAATGAGATACAACAGCTCTCTAATGAAAATTATTGTAAACACTTTGGCTTCCCCTTCACAAAAGAACGTTTAAGGGTCGTATTCTAGAACTCAATGCTCAAGTCAGGACTGTATCAGACTTGAGTATGTTTTCAAGCACTGGAAATACGACCCTAATGGCAAGATCTTGAATATGATTTTCAGTGCTCACTGCAATACTCAAGTCCTGACTTGAGTATTGAGTAGAGTTCTGGAATACGACCCTAAGTCGTAGAAGGAAAATAAAAAAAAACGAAAATTCTTCTATTCTCCCTTCCTCACCCTCTAATTCTCCCTCTACGGTCTAGGTGAAAAGCGCTTTTACAAGCACGCTTTTGAAACGTACGTTTTAACGTTAAATAAATAAGCAGTTTTTCCCATTTCAACTGTTAACAACTACGAAAGTTAAACAACATATGTTTTTGAACGCTTATAAACGCCAATGAACAAAATGTTAATATAATAATATTATGTCATAAATAAAAACATAACTTTTTTTTTACAATAAAACTTACTTATCATAAAACCTTTAGTGGCCTACTCTTGCGTTTCGCTATCAACACAATGTTGCAAGCTTTTTTTAACATAAAAGCGTTTAAACGTTATCTAAACGATTGTGTTAGTTTTAAAAAGCGTTTAAAAAAGCACGCGTTTCTTAAAAAAGCATAACGTTTAAACGTTTAAAAAATAAGCAGTTTTTCCCATCTCTAATTATCTGTCAAATGAAATGGCAGAGTGAAGAATGGTGATGCCGATGGTTTTTGGGAGTCGAAGTTTTTTGCCTATAATCTTTGGAATTAGTGACAAATTTTATTTTTTTAAATAGGACCAATTTGTTCCTTGGTTTTTATAATATTTCTAGACAATTTGCAATGGCTTTAGCAGTACGGAAAACGATCTCAGATGTTCTTTCAGCAGCAAAATGGTTCCTCAGAAGAGGTTAGTTTAGAATTAATATTTTTTACTGTTTATTCGTGCAAAGTAGGTTCTTATAACTTATTAAACTTATTTAAGATTATAGAGCATTTTCTATACTGCCCGACAAAGCTGAGACACCACAAGATGGGGTAGAGAGGAAGAAGCCATTAGGTCGTAGACCGAGCAACCCAGGGTTAGAATTCCGTCACATTTATCCGGAGTTTCTTCCTGACCCTAATCCAAAATGGAGAAACAGTCTTCGTGAGAAGTTGGAACGGGCTGACATGCTTAAAAGGAGGAATCAGATTGATATTCCAGAATTTTATGTTGGTAAGTTTCTGTGTGGAACCTATTGATTACATACACGCAAACAACATGACGTTATTGTGAAATAAATCGTTTTCCATAATTTGTTATTTTATAGCTATAGAAGTAGTAGTGTGCTCATTTTCTGCACTTACAATGGAAATGTCAGAAGCTGGTAATGGAGTGTAATTTTGTGAATCTGTTTCTCGCTTTAGCAAATAATTTGAGATATACACACATATATTTATTACATTCCATTTGGTGTGTTCAGGTTCTCAAATTTTCTTAATAATAATATAATTTAGGATATCTCTGCTTAAAGATTTTGCTTCTTGGTTCTTCATTATATAATAAATGGCCCAATTTATTTAAGTTATAATATAACATTTTCAGGTTCTATTTTAGCAGTGACTATATCAGATCCACATGCGCAAGGCAAGACCAACCGTTTTGTAGGCATTTGCATTGAGCGCAAAGGTTGTGGTCTAAGTGCTGAGTTTACATTGAGGAATGTAGTTGACCATCAAGGAGTGGAGGTGAGGAAATATTCACACCTTTTGATTTGCCTCAAACTGCATAAATTTTATTTAAACTTTTATTGAAATTTTTGTTGAGAATATGAAAAGAAATACCATTCTCTAAAGTTGGCAGATAAAAAAATTGCATGATTCATGTGACACTAGTATGAAATAAAAATGTTGATATTGTATGTTTTCAGATTCGGTATCAATTGTATGATCCCACAGTCCAAAAGATACAAGTGCTACGTCTAGAGAAACGTTTAGATGAGAAACTCTTCTACCTGCGTGATGCATTGCCAGAGTACAGCACTTTCCCATTTGACATGGACCCTGAGATATTGCCTGACGGAACACCAGTACCAATAAATCCTGTTCAGGTGAAATTTCCTACTTATCTAATCTTTTATTAATTTTTTTAATTTATAACATCCATAGCTTATAATAAGTTGAAAATACATAAAACGGTGTTGTATAAACCTATTAAAGATTTTTCTGTACACTGCTGCATATCATGTTGCCAATAATAAACACAAAAATGGGGTCGATAAGAAGATATTTCACTCCCACCGACCCAACTGAGCGGTCACATTCGTCGCTAGCATGATAAATTTTATTGTGGAAGTGTGATTAATGAAACGTCATTATCCACTATACTATATCATGATAATGCACTGTGATAGTTAATGAATCTGCAGGCATTTTTTATGCATTACAGAAAGCATAAAAGAAATATAATAAGAGTTAAAATATGACATTGCCATGCTAATGTTCTGGCCACATTGATATGAAATAAAGTGTCTTTAGTCTGAGAGCCGTATTAGAAGTTTTGGTTGAGAAGTATGGAATTTTGTATGAAACAATGAACTATTTAAGTGACTACTATTACAACCATGATGGCTACTTGCTATTTATTAAGAAATACAAGCAATGATTGCATAACTCTTAGAGAAAAGAGCCACGGCTAGTCTACCTGGTCTTCTTCATCTCTACTTAGATACAATAACACCAGAGCTCATGGTGCCAAGCAAACTGTCACCACCTTACATGGGTTTTAGATTGTAGGTCTTTACCACTCCCCATATTGAACTGAGCTGCCGCCTTCTGACTACCATTTTTCTGCAATTTCTATAATTATCTACAAGCAATACGGTTTAGGTCCTTAAAGTAGCAGAAAATGAGTTTCAATACTTTATGATTCAATACATTCTGTTCTTCTACAAAGTTGTATATGTCCATTGTAATATGTGTTTTATATGTCTTTTCTTTGTACAATAAAGAATATAATAGTAAAGTTATAAACATTGACTTACAATTATATGGACGTCGGGTCCGCGCTAAAAAGTGTTCGAACTTATAGGGCGTTAAAATCGTATACAGAGCGTCATTCACGCTTTAGTCTTCGTATGTTCGACTGACAGCGAAGCAAGCAGAATTAGACAGTACTGCGATGACATTACAATTTAAATTCAACGTTTTAGCTTTTTCATATTCCTTTACATGTCACTACGTTTAACCTGTTTGTTTCCGAAGTTTAAAACTAACATAAAAGTATTTTAATTGAAAAGTCATATTACCAAATTGAAGAGTATATTTTAGATAAAGCAGTATGGAAAGACAACAAGAGTCTAGCTTCTACACAATTATGATTCAAAGGGTATTCCATAGCATTTAAATTTATTTGAAAAGAGCAATCCCTAGAGTTTCTTGCTCGTTCTTTTCAGGGAGGTCAGCGTAGTGAACAAGCAGTTGCTTAAAAAGTAGCTTAAAAAATGACGTTTTCAAGTGATTTTCCTGCAAGATTGCAGAGTTGTATTGACTGCATAAGTGCATGTCTTGATTAATAAAAAAATATTTTCTATAAGCCTCCCTTATTGTTCCAGGTGAAGTTGAAACCAAGACCTTGGTTGGAGCGGTGGGAGAGACAAGACTTAAAAGGTGTCTCCAATATTGAAGAATATCTTAAAGAGAAGGACAGAGTTAGGAGGGAGCTTAGGAAGACTCCTTGGGAGAGATATGATTTGATGAAGCAATACAGGTATTTATTTAAGGATATGTTAGTCACTAGAACTATAATATTATATGTTCAATTTCTCTTAGGATGTCTACAAAAAATTGCCACATAAATGCATGTGTAGTCCCAGCTTTACAATCCTATTTTAGAGGCTGCATTTTTGTTATAAGCTTTTTATTTAAATTTATGTTGAGCACAAGTGTATTTCGTTCTGTATGACCAATAATGTACTAAAACACTTTAGGAAAACTATTCCTGAGGAAGATCAAAGCGAGATATGGGGCGAGGTCTACAATCAGTTGCATCAACTCCAACTTGCGCGCAAGAAGATGTCACGAAAACGTACCTTTACTCCACCAAAAACTCAGTTGGGCTGAGTTTCATCATTGTTAGCATTAGTGAATTCTTAACTTAGATAAGTGATACAATGTAATCATTTATTTAGCTATTAAAGATTTTCAACAAAATTTTTCTCTCAGTAGATTGGAGTGTGGCAACTTGGCAAGTGAAAAGTATAGATTGTGGTTGTGTTAAATAAACAAGTAGTCTAACAACCTGTAGTCACATGGAGATCGGAAACAACAAAACATAACGTCGATAAATAGCTCTGCCCTTTCATAGACAATGCCAGTGATCATATTATTAATATCATTGAATATTGACGTTATTTCATGAACAGACAGGCGTCTGTTTATGAAATAACATGATTTTACTGGGGAATTCAACAACCTAAACTACTACTACGATAGTTGCGAAAATCAGCATCCGCATTCATCAATGCTGATACTCATTACGGATGGTCGAGTCGAGACATGACTTAAACAGACTTAGGCGAAAAAGCAGCTGAACTCTTTTTTTAAATTGTTTTCATGCAGATTGATTCTTTCGTTAATAAATGTCACAAAATTATTGATATAATATTTTTTTAATACAGTTGCTTAAAATGTGTTATTTTCGTACCACAAATCGTGCTGAAAGTTGGATTTTTTGCACTAGTGCTTTTTACTTTTCAATTTTTTTTTAATTTACTGTTGTTTCATGTCTTAAACATAGAACTGAAAAGGGTTGTATATTTATTTAATATTAATGTGCTTTGTGACGTAAGTCATTCGTCATTAAAACTTATTTTAACACTTACAAACATCTTATTTGTTTAAATTGCATAGATGTAAAACGTAAACCAACGGGTTACATTTAAAAATACCAAAATATTTTCCATAAAGGTGGCTGATTGAGTATTAACAATGACCGGAGGTGAGTATTACGCGAGTTCGCTGCACGACTTGCTACTAAAATAGTAATTTTAATGTAGTTGAATACTGGCAACAGTTGCCATTGTGTAAGGGTCGTATTCTAGAACTCTACTTAATGCTCAAGTCAGGATTTGAGCAGACTTCAGTATGATTTCAAGCACTGGAAATACGACCCTAATGGCAAGGACTTGATTATGATTTCTAGTGCTTTAAATCATACTCATGTCACGACTTGAGCAATGAGTAGAGTTGTGGAATACGATCCTTTAGAGACCTAGGTAGTTTTACTCAAGCCCTTGCTTTTAGGGTCGTATTTCCAGTGCTTGAAATCATACTCAAGTCCTGACTTGAGCATTGAGTAGAGTTCTAGAATACGACCCTAACACACAAATAAAATGAGTTTTGTTTTTAAATACTTATTTATTTTACTTTCAATGTAGTTTTTTCGCAAATGTATTAAAAATATTTTATTACAACACCAAAGAAAATAGAAAGCTTTTTCATTTAGATAGATGCATGTACAATGTACATACATTTTTCGCGTTCTTTTTTTAAATCCGCTGATGTGTAAAAAACACCCTGCAGCAACAACAATTGACCCTGATTTTCCATGCGCTAAGCTGATATATTGTATACGGATAGTAGCAGAAACAAAACGCTCGCTGTCAATGTCGTAGTAGTGAATTTTTAAGCCGACAGGTGGCAGCAGAAGGGAAACATTGGGACAAAAAACAAGGCTTTTTAGACGCGACGACAACGTCCCGATCAGAGCCATGGGAAATTTTATTTTGTCATATTGCTAAATGGAATAAATTGGCGATTTTTTACTTTTCAACGTTACTCAAATAAAACGGAAACCTCAATAAAAATGACGTACGTAATCAACGCACATTGAACATATTATTAGCAAAAGCTTAAAAATATCGATTTTTTTTCACCCTCCTTTTAAAATACACGACATGATTTGAGCGGTGTTGTTTGCTAATTAATCGACGAAAGATTAAAAATTAATTTTTGTTTTAAATACCACTGTAATTTAGAAAGAATTTTCTTGTGTGGGGCGTAGAGGTCTTGTTCGTTTTCAGTTTAACCGTACCTAGATATAACGCTGATGAAAACTCACACAATAGACCTTACTGGAGTTTCTTGTTTAGCGAATACTTGGCTGACGTGACGTCGCAATACACGTGAACGTTTTTCGGTGACGGAATATTTTTATGTCAAAAATCGTGCATGGAGTGTATGCAAAGTCATTTATGGAGTACTGCCTGTTCCCAATTAGGGAGATGCCACACGGGTGTTGCGTCGGCTTTGCGTCGTCGCAACTGCGTTGATCTCAATGCTGCACGAGCTGTTCCGTCGACGCACGCTGTTTCAACGCACCGTGTTGTGGCATGTCGTTCTGATTTATATGTAGTATAACGCAGTTGCGACGACGCAACGCCCGTGTGGCATCTTCCTTATGGGATGGCTCTGCTAAATACCAACTGGCCACCTTGGATTCAGTTGAAAAACGTGTCAAGAGACTTATAGGTGATTCGGATTTAGTAGAGGCGAAGCAACACGAAGCCTTGAAACATCGTCGTAAAGTTGCCCGCTTGTCGGTATTCTACTGGATATATCACGGAGAGCGTGCGATGGAATTAGATGCTTTTATTCTGTCTTCGCTTTTCCATCATCGGGGGACTAGACGTAGGCTGGGGTACCCCTATGTTGTGGACATTCCCATGATTCCCATGAAGCGTTTCACCTCCACATTCGAACGAAGTTATTTATGTTGTATTACCCACAGGAACATTTTTTCCTTATATATAACTATTAATCGTAATGTCAAGAGAAGACCTGTCAATAAATAAACCGGAAAAAACTGTGTAAGGTCCAAACTGTCAGCGATAATTATTGGTTTATATTTTTTATCCTGAATTCCAATTCATAGCAAAATACGTCTGGATTCATTACAATTAATGTTATTCGTTGCAATGTAGTTACCGTTGCTGCTCGCGGGCTTGCGCTATCTAGCGATTGCATTGCACTAGGCTTTCGTACTTTCGTGATTAGTACATTTTATTGAGAGTATTAACCAATTTATTTTTACAACATGCTTAGACATAAGTCCCAAATATTTATTTTTCTGTATCAGTTAATAGTATTGTATGAATTCGTTTGAAAATCTTCGTCATTGTCACCATAAAACTAAACTCGTCGTCTAGATTCGTGTCGTTGTATTATAGTGTCGTGTCGTGTAAAAGTCACTTTAACATTACTTGCGAGTCCCCGTCGGAAGGACCGTACACCGCACTATAATTCAATTTCATTAAATGAGAGTACATAAGCGACATTTGACATAGAACTATAGAATGAAAGTTGTTTGAATGTATATTTTGTGTTTTGCGCAAATCAGTGTAGTGTTTCAAGAGTTTCTGTGAACGTTGTCGAAGTTTCAACTGCAACGCATCAACCTGTCGTCGCCGGGTACGTAAAGTTGTTTATGTGCTTTAATAGCTGAAAAATGTTTTTACAGCAAAAAAGCAGATTTTATAGACAATATTTTTACTTCTTGTAATTTTAGATTGTCAAATTTACCTAAAAGATTTGTATTTTGATGTGTTCTAAAATAGTTTACTCACATACGTTGCATCGCTAGCCCCCGAATTGCAACTGCATTAAATGTCCTTGGTTATATCGATTATGAGTCAATGCACATTTTACCGCGTCTCTTATTAACTCATGTCACACACTCGGTAATTTTAACCCAAATGAATTCACTACGATCCAATTTGAAAGTTTATCATAGTATAACAGTGAATTTGTTGTTTTCTATGGTGTAGCCATGATGTCCTTTAAATTTAGATTTTAGATTTAAAATTGTCAAATTGTTTTAACACCACTACTGATTTGTAAGGTAGATTGTCTGGAGAAAAGTGCATAAATAGATATTTATTTATGTCTATATACCATTCACAATATCTATTAAATATAGTCATAAGTAGACAAAGAAAAGAAGGAAAGGAGCTAAGCAGATCATGGATTTTTGGCATTCAAACACACAAGCAACTAGTATGTTGTATATATACAGTTTTTGTTAATATTCATCAATGGCAAATTTGAATGTCAGCTGAAATTTTATTATAGATGGTCCTTATTCCGTTATGCATCCTGCTGATATGTGTGTATACAAAATTATTTACTTTTAAAAAAAAATTAATTTTTTTTAACGGTACTTAGATGAAAACTCAGCTGGGCTTTAGAGATACTATGTGATGAAAGAGCTTTGCAATAGCAAAATCATTATTAAACTGTGTGTCTATAATGATTCTATGTGAGTGCTTAAATTATAATGTCAAGAATAATCTGTTCGTTTTTGTCAACTGATTAATATTATGTCTATTATTATTTACCAAAATTACAATTTTTGTTAACATAAATTGCAGTGTAAGAATGTTTGATACTTCCAATGAACACTATGCCAACTTTATTTTTTGTAATTTTCTGTAATTTAGTAAACAGTAATATTTATTTACTAATATTATCCTCCCTAAATTTTGTGAAAAAAAAATATAAAGAAACAAAAAACAAAATTAAAAAAGTAATTTTGTGAAAAAAAATTAAAGACAAAAATAACATTAAAACATAGAACAGGTTCAAAAATTAATTTGGCGTAGTGTTCGTTTGAGGTATCGATCTGTAAAGTTGTGTCTGAGAGACCAGAATTTCTTGTGCCTAGTTTGTAAATAGCCCTAATAGTGTTGGTGATAATTCATCGAAGCATAATGTCATTTAAGTCATCAATCACACAGTGGTAATAGTTACAATAAACCCATTTGGAGTAAATGTCTCAAACTTTCTACATTAAAAAAAAAATGGTGTGTGTTTATATCATAGGTGAGTTGTTTCGACATCTTTTTGCCCTTTGGTATTTCACATTTAGATTTATTACAAATGTTTACAAATGCAATTGTGTCTACAATGTTGAATTTTTTTATATCTAACCATAAGGTCAAAAATATTATAGTTAACTGAAAATCAAGTAACAAGTTTTGACTCTTCCAGTACCGCTGTATATATTATTTAAGTTGTCTTTACTACTTCCGCGTCGCTTTCAACTTTATTATTTGTAAACATTTCTTTACTTCCAATACAAGCATGCTTAAACATTTTGGATTGCATTCGTTATATACAGTTTGTATAAATTCGCCCAAACACTACATTTTAAAGAATTTTTAAGGTTTCATATTTCAAAACATTCTCATTTACAATTCGAAAATGGAATTCGATATATTTTTTGGGGTAGTCGTATAGAAATTTGGGCACTTTAAGCCGGGTTTTCACTATACGGGTACACTCGGATGACTACTAGGACGCAACTCGTAACGTGTAAACACGTGATCCGAGCGTACTTGGACATCGGCATCCAATCACTACGTTACGAGTGGCGTGTAAGTAGTCATCCGAGTGAACTTGGTTCGAGTGTACTCGTATAGTGAAACACCGGCTTATAATCACGTGAACCGAGCGTCCTCAGACCTCGGCATCCCATCAATACGTTACGAGTAGCGTTCGAGTAGTCGTCCTATTGGACTCGGTCCGAGCGTACTCGTATAGTGAAAACCATAGATTTAGTAATGGTTACAACGACCATCATTTATTGGGTCGTTATCGTGATATTAG